AGCCAATACTGTATGCAAACAAATATCCTTTTTTTTTTAATCTTCCCTTCACATGATTGGATATTCATGTGAAGATAGGTTCACCTTATTTCCAAAGTTAAAGTGTTATTAAACCCAGGACCCTGCATTCACTATATCTGGTCTCCCACAGTACACAGAACATGGAAATGCAATTATTGTAATAAATATAAACTGCTAAATACCTTTTCTCATGAGCAGTTACAGCAGTCTTGTGACTTCTATCAGTGTCCAGCAGAGCACTGGTTACATTTTCTTGGAGGTGTTTTAATTTTCCCCTATGAGGCTGCAGGACCCCTGACCCTCTGTCTGGACAGCACTTATTGGCCCTGTGCTGATCACATGCACTCTCCCAAGAATAAAAACTCTCTAGCAATACACACCAACTGAGCATGTGCAGCTTGCCGCCAAGCCTCTGTTCCATCAGGAGATATATTGGGAACAGTAGAAGAAGGGGAGGATCAGAGATTACAGGATCAAACATCCTTTTTAAACAATGCGGAGGATTAACCCCTTAGGTTCCACAGTGAGTATAACAAGCATGCATTACTGCATATACAGACTGATTTTACTGTTGTGGGTTTAGTAACGCTTTAAGTGAACATTCAATTTTCAAAGCCATCATTCTGTACCCTTTAACAATTGCTAATGTTTAAGCCTCTTCATCCTCTCACTGCTTCCAGCTATCAGTGTATGCTGATGGCACTGAAGAAGCATACCACACTCTGAAGCCCAAAATAAAATAATGGTGCTGTTTTCAATTCAATTTGACTTCTGTTTTTTTATTTTTATTTACATGATTAGTTAAACCATTTTGTTGCTCTCATAGCAATGAAACAATAAAACTGTTACATTATGTCTAGTTGTTTTCTTTTTAAACTGAGGTATGAGGTATGATAGCATTTAAAAGAAAAATGTCTTGTTTTTCTTGGACACACATGTCCCTATCCAGAACTGATCTTGCTTTGCTCTATGAAATGTTTGCTATGACTGTACAGTGTATTATTTCCCAGAAGCCTCTCTGATCATTCTCTCCCCTACTGGTGATGTCTTGTTTGGGCAACCTAATCCATAAAACTGGATGGCATTAAAATTAATTCAAACTCATGCTTCCACTGCCATCTGAACCAATCTCCCCTGTGCTTGAGGCATTTATTTTCCTAAATACGGGCTTCGCTCCTATGGTGGTGAGCTGGGCCTTATCTACATGGCCTTCTAATCAAAGAAATTCCCCATATTAAAATGAATATTTGGAAGTGGGAGTCTGAAATTTTGGACGATTGCCAATGTCAAAGGCCAATATGTTACAAATCCTAACTTCACTACCCAGACACAGTGGGTCTATACATAGGATTTGCTTAAAGATATGATGAGGGCTGAGCAGAGAGGCTCCTTTGCTTACCAGAAATATTTTTATAAGGGGGGAGAAAACTGGCTATTTACTAACCCCAATTACTATACTCATAGGGATGCAAAAATTTTGGAGCATATTGTGTCTGCCTCTGGGGATAGTTTGCATTCTAAGCCAGATGTCCTGGAGGAATTCCATACCTTCTATTCTCAGAGTATACTTCCTTAACTGACTAAGGTAGCCAGCTATTTCTTACGTTTCTAGAGCAGATTTCCTTCCTTGAACTTACTACTGAAGAGAGGGAGATATTAGATGCTCCTTTCACATTGAAGGAGCTTATGGAAGCAATGAATTTACACCCCACAAATAAGGCCCTGGGTTCTAATGGCTTACTGGCTGAGTTCTATAAGGAGAACCATACAATACTCCTTCCAATGCTACTCAACATACTTGGGGGTTGATTTACTAAAGGCAAATAGAGTGTGCACTTTGTAAAGTGCAGTTGCTTCAGAGCTTAGTAAATGAGCAGAAGCTCTGAAGACTTCTATCATCCAATCATGTGCAAGAAAACATTTGTTTATTTTACTTGCACACGTGTGGGCTTTCTTTGCAGAGTGAAGCTTTACCTCATTTACTAAGCTCTGGAGCAACTGCACTTTGTAAAGTGCACGCTCTATTTGCCTTTAGTAAATCAACTCCTAAATATTGCATTTGAAATTTCCCAACTACCCACATCCATATATGATGCCACTATAATTGTAATCCCTTAACTGAGTAAGGATGTGACCAAACCAGACCCATATCAGTACCTAATACAAACACAAAATTAGCAGCAAAGGTGTTGCCTAAGCAGCTTGCTATGAACCTATAAGGATAGATCATTGGACCATGTTTGACACACATCCCAAAAATAATAGAACAATAGAAAATATAATTTGGGACTTTTAGGGTGCTCCCTCTCACCAAATTACAAACATATACAGTATATACAGTGCTTAGCATAAATGAGTACACCTCTTTTGAAAAGTAAGATTTTATTCAACATCCCAATGAACACAAGAACAGTTTCCAAAATTTTGACAAAACTGAATTTTATAGAACTTTTGTTTAGCTCATTACATGAAAGTAAGGTTAATAATATAACTTAGATTACAAAATCTTAAATTTTACTCAAATTAGTTGATGGAAAAATGAATACACCCCAAAACAAAAACTACTGCATCTAGTATTTTGTATGACCTCCCTGATTTGTAAGGACAGAAGAAAGTCTTCTAGGCATGGAATGAACAAGTCAGCGACATATTGTAACATCATTATTTTGCCATTCTTCAAGAACGACCTCTTTTAGAGCCTAGATGCTAGATGGAGAGTGATGCTCAGCTTGTCTTTTCAGAATTTCCCGTAGGTGTTTGATTAGGTTGAGATCAGGAGACATCACTTTCACCCTGTTCTTCTTCAGAAATGCAACAGTGGCCTAAGATGTGTGTTTTGGATCGTTGTCATGTTTGAAAAGTGCACGACAACCAAGGGCACAGAGTGATGGTAGCAACTTCTCTTACAATACAGAGCTGTACATCTGTTAATTCATGATACCATCAATGAAATGCAGCTCTCCAACACCAGCAGAATTTATGCAGCCCCACAGGAGGACATTGCCACCACCATGTTTCACTGTAGGCACCATGCATTTTTCTTTGTACTCCTCACCTTTGCGATGCCATACAGTTTTGAAAACATCAGTTTCAAAAACATTATTTTAGTCTCATTACTCCACAAAACAGAATCCCAGTAGTTTTCTTCTTTATCGGCATGGGCCCTGGCAAATTCTAGATGGGCTTTTTTGTGCATGGGTTTTAGGAGGAGCTTCTTTAGTGAATGACACCCATGCATGCCATTCTTCTGCAGTGTACACCGTATTGCGTCATGAGAAGCAATCACCCCAGTTTGTCTTTCTACTTCTTTAGCTAAAGGTAGTGAACGTACATGGCAATTTTCTTCAATCCTCATCAAAAGACGCTCCTGTCGAGGTATAAACTTTTGTAGATAGCTTGAACGTCTCTGTGAGATGGTTGCAGTTCCATCTTTGTAAAATTTTTGTATCACTTTTGCTACAGTATTCTGACTGATAAGTAAACCTTTGCTGATCTTCTTGTAGCCTTCACCTTTCTTGTGTAAAGAAATTATTTTCTTTCTCAGGCCTTGTGACATTTTTCTTACATGTGGTGCCATTGCTGATAGCATGAAATGGGAAGGGGCTTTCTTTGTTAAGTAATGCTCTTTTATAATAAACTGTCTGCTGGGCACCTGTTTAGTGAATAATAAGACTCACCTGTAGTTGAATTCTTGTTAATTAGGATTTTTTTGTCTAAAATTTAGCTTTGCTCCTAAGACATTCATTGTGGTGTATTAATTTGTTTAAACCTCCAAAAGGCCTCAAGGTCAATACTAATGAGTGATCCAAGAGTCCCTAATCAATCATCCAATAGTAAACCAAACTAAAAATGACTAGTTATGGACTCAACCAGGATTAGTGTGTTTTTTGTGTTATAAGTGTATATATTAAATCATAAAGCTGGTGGTCAAAAGCACATGAACAACTCCTTTATTCAAACAAAAACATGTTTAAAAACAACAATATACCACACTGCACAGGTCTCATATTGTGTATAAAGCTATCAATACTCAAATTTTACATGCTAAGTACCTATGGTCCTTATGGGGAAAAAAAATCTGATGCCTTTGTATATGTTTATACAGCTACATAATTACATAGTTAGTCTGGCTGAAAAAAGACAAAAGTCTATCCAGTTCAATCATTAAAAAAAAAAAAAAAGTTATAATCCTACACCCACAGTTGATCCAGAGGAACGCAAAAAAAAAAAGACCCAGCAAAGCATGATCCAATTTGCTCCTGCGGGGGGGAAAAATTCCTTCCTGATTCCCTGATAGGCAATAGGATATTCCCTGGATCAACTTTACCTATAAATGTTAGTATCCAGTTATATTCTGTGTATCTAGGAAATAATCCAGGCCTTTTTTAAAGTAATCCACTAAGCTGGCCAGAACCAACTCTTGAGGGAATCTATTCCACATTTTCACAGTTCTTATTGTGAAGAAACCATTCCGTGTTTGGAGATTAAATTTCTTTTCCTCCAGGCGTAAAGAGTGTCCCCCTTGTCCTCTGTGATGACCTCAGAGTGAAGAGCTCTACACCGAGTTCACTATATGAACCACTGATGTATTTATACATGTTGATCATATCCCCCCTTAATCTTCTCTTCTCAAGAGAGAATAAATTCAGTTCCTCTAATCTTTCCCCATAGCTGAGCTCCTCCATGCCTCTTATCAGTTTGGTTGCCCTTGTCCATAGGTTCTCCAGTGTCCATTGTTCTTTTTGTGAATTGGTGCCCAAAATTGAACTGCATATTCCAGATGAGTTATTACTAATGATTTGTACAGGGATAAAATGATCTCTCTCTCTCTGGAGTCTATACCTTTTTTAATACAACAGATGATTTTGCTTTCGTTAGAAACCGCAGCTTGGCATTGTGCCATTATTAACCGCCTCCCGCCCACCATATAGTACAATGACGGGCGCAAGGCGGTTCTGGGAGGACGTCATATGACGTACTTCCATTCTAACCGCGCATGTGCGGCTCCGGGAGCGCGCAGCGATCGGTGGTGCGCTGTGTCCCTTGGACACAGCAAATCACCGATCAATGGAAAGAGCTGAAGATGCCGGCTCGTTCATGTGATCAGCTGTGTCCAATCACAACTGATCACATGTAAACAGGGAAATGCCGGTTATCGGCATTTCTCCTCCTCAAGAGCTGTCACACTGACAGCTCGTGAGGAGAGGAGAGCCGGTAACCAGCATTCCTCGGAGGGAACATGTACACAGATCATCAGAGCACTGATGATCAGTGGGCCCAGATGATCTGTGTAGCCCCAGCAGTGCCACCTGTCAGTGTCCATCAGTGCCAGCTGTCAGTGCTCATCCATGCCACCTTCCAGTGCCCATCAGTGCCACATTTCAGTGCCTACCAGTGCACATCAATGCCACATATCAGTGCCCATCTGAGCTGCATTTCAGTGTCACTCATCAGTGCCAGTCAGTGACACCTATCAATGCCAGTCAGTGCCACCTATCAGTGCTGCCAATCAGTGCCACCTATCAGTACCAGTCAGTGCCGCCTATCAGTGTGCATCAGTGCCGCTTATCAGTGCCCGTCAGTGCTGCCTATCAGTGCCGCCTAACAGTGCCAGTCAGTGCTGCCTATCAGTGCCATATATGAGTGCTGCCTTTCAGTGCCCATCAGTGATGCCTATCAATACCCATCAGTGCCAACTACAAGTGCCTCCTCATCAGTGCCCATCAGTGCCACCTATCAGTGTCCATCAGTGCAGCCTATCAGTGCCTATCACTACAGCCTCATTAGCGCACATCAGTGAAGGATAAAAATCATTTATTTACAAAATTTTATAACAAAAACTAAGAAAAATTTTTTTTTTTCTAAATTTTCAGTGGTTTTTGGTTTGTTTAAGAAAAAATAAAAAACCCAGAGGCGATTAAATACCACCAAAATAAAGCTCTATCTGTCACAAAAAAATGATAAAAATTTCATATGGGTACAGTGTTGCATGACCGTGCAATTGTCATTAAAAGTGTGACAGCGCTGAAAGCTGGAAATTGGCCTGGGCAGGAAGGGGGTATAAGTGCCCTGTATGCTAATGGTTAAGCTTGTGATCTACCAGAACTCCCAGATCCTTCTCCACCATTGATTCCCCCAGTTGTACTCCCCCTAGTATGTATGATGCATGCATATTCTTAGCCCCCATGTGCATAACCTTTACATTTAACATTTTATTGTGTCTGTACATTCAAGGCTTTCTTAATTTGCTCGTGACAAGTAAAAAACTAAAGAAATCTTAACAATTGGAATAATCATTTTCACCTAGTGAAAGTCCAATTTTAAAATGGTAAGGTATAAATTGGATTATTAACCCATGATCTTTTCCCTTGAACAGTTCGGCTGTTAATAAAATGTTTCTCTCTTTGATAAGTCAAGTGATATTATCAAATGAGATAATTACGGTTGAGAGGCCACTTTTAGCAGTGATACATGCTATTGCAACTTATTAGTTGGACCCTGTATTTCTAAATTTCAGTACCCAGGCAATATCTGTCACTAACCTAAACAACCTAGAGCAAATAAGCCAGGAAAATGTACCAAAAACAGACCAGTAACAGTATGCAAATTAGCACATAAATTCCTCAAACCCTTAAAGCAGTTATGGCTGTCAAAGGAAATTTAACAGAATATCACATGTGGGTAAGAAAGAAAAAACTGCTAGGCTTTAACTTGTTAGTCATCAGGGATGAACCAAATTTGCCATTGATTTGGTTTGAGTATTATTCAGTGAACTTCAAAGAATTTAGGTGTCAAACCCAAACCCCATTAAAATCAATGAGAGGCAAATCTGCCAAATTAAAGATGCTCATTTTCAGGACTAATCAGTAAGGGGGTGAAAAAAATAGCATGGGATGGGCACTGGCCTGCAGAACATGTACCAATGTACCAATGCATGTACCAATGCAAATAAAATCTATTAGGCCAGGAGCAGTGTTTTTTTAATTCTAAAGTGAAACATTAAAAAGGCCCAATTCCTTTAAATAGCATTCCTGGGGCATGTTGGGATGCCCTAATCCTACCTATGAAGGAGCATATCCCTGTAATGTACAGAAAGTGCTGTAGCAGCACTTATATTTACAAAGGAAAAAGTGTTTAAAACACTTGGCAAAGGACATTCATTGCTGAGTTCCTAGAAGAAAAAAAAACAGTACACAAACCCCTGCAAGGAGTTGCTCTAAATTTTGGGTGACCTTTTCGAAAGATGCTAGCAATGAAAAGTAATGTGTCAGCAATTTGAACTGTAGCTTCTTTTATCTTTGTCAATGTTTCTTTGCCATGTTGTAGCACATGGCAAAGGTTGGGTTCGAGTTTACACCACCACCTCCTAAACCATACCAGGCCACATAGCCTCAACATGGGGGTGCCTTGTTGATAAGGCCAAGGGACTCTTCACAATGTTTATGAGGACAAGGTCCTTTTCCCCATAACCCTGCCCAATATTTGTAGGGGTCTGCGGGTGGGGGCTTATCGGAATCTGAAAGCCCCCTATAATAATGAGGCCCCAGATACTACCCCTGCTATGTGAATGGGTAAAAGGTGCTTAGTATTTCTAATCATTCGCAAAACAATATAAAAAAGGAAACCTAGAAATAAAGACACCCAAACATTTGAGAAGTCCTTAATAAAAAATAAAAATCCCCAAACAATCACCTGGTTGTAAATCCATCATCAATCACAATGACTGGCGCCTGCTGAAAAAAAAAAAACAGCTAACAGATTGTGATGTTATCTGTCCAAATGACAGTTCTCTGAGCAGATGTCAGCTATAAAAGCGTAGGGACAGAGATTGTAGTGACATTCATTGGCCAAAATATGGCCAGTGGTCTTCCACGTCACTACTGCACACGTTACTGTGGCTTATGTGTGCCACCATCCAACATGTTACAAGCCTTTATCAACTTCGCATGCATAGAATAACACTGCAAACAACCTCACATACATGGGAAATTACTAGACAGCTTTTGTCATCAATATTGCTAATAACTATTGTCTATTATATTACTTTCTGCAATCTCTTATGGCTTCCCAGCCACTATTACTACTAAACCCAAGCACCACCTTGGAGAAGTTCAGCTGATAACAGTATTCTTTTTATTTTCCTGAATTCCAAGACAGAATTTTGACGTCAACTAAAATATTATGTGCCTATACACATCTAAATTAATCAACATCTTCCCTAAAAAATTGGGAAGAGATACTATCCAAAACACTTACGGACCAAACATGGCGAAAAACTTCTACTCTTACTTACAAATCCTCCCACTGTGCTACGCACTGGGAATCATACCTAAAAATTCTGCACCAATGGTATCTGACTCCTGTCAAATTGTCAAAAATATATTCTAGCTACTTTCCACTCTGTTGGTGTCAATGTGACGTAATAGGATCCACATTCCACATAGCATGGTCCTGTAAATCACTCAGATCTCAGTGTTTTACAATTAAGTTCCAAGTTGACTGGAAAGATAGTCACTCCTATCCACACTCTAGCACTGTTACATATAGGATTGGGAACATTTCCCCCTGACTCATGCACCATAATAATCCACATATTATTTGCAGCCAAAAATAATATTGCTTTTGTTAACTGTAGAAAACCATTTCTTGCACTGGCATATTTTGACATAGTTAGCTGGACCGTTAAGGATAGAGGGGGGTGGGGGTCAAGTTCCAGCATTTAAATATTATTACCTATGTCATGCTTAAGATAAATATTAATAGTGTTTATTTGGCTTTATATACTGGACACTGGGAAAGAGGGAGAAGTGTCAGCTATGGGGTGTTATTTTTCATTGTGTATTTGAAAGATTTGTTCCCAAAGAGATGGAGTTTGGCACATTCCCCCCCATATGTGGGTCAATGTAGTGGTATTGTGGTGACATCATGTTCCAGGTCTAGTTGGAAACTATATTTTATTTCTTGATACACCTTATATTAATTAATAAAATACTCTAGTTTTCAAATGTTATGCTGACCAAAGTTTAGACCACTATTTGGCATACTATGAAAGTTATTTATTAGTTGAATATTAATACATTTATTACACTGCCACAATTACAATTACAGTTACAATGGAATTCATTGTGTTGACTGAAGAGAGCAATTGCTGCATTAGACTAAAAATTGCAAAGTTCTTGTCATTGCTAAACATCTATTGGAAGAACTTGTCATTTTTACAAGAACTTGTCAGTCTAACATTCATTTCAAACTGACTGACAGTTTAAGTAAGTCATATTTTAACAAGGCTGTTAATTATTTAGTAACATATTTTTAAATAATCTGTTGCTGAAAGTGTTACATTGATAAGTAGATAATGGATCTAATTCTCAGAAGAAGTAAGAGAGCAAAAAAATGAATAATTTACTGTACATTACAATTTCACTTTAACTGAAGTTACTCCCTTTACTCTTGGCCTTCGACAAGAATAACAAGCAAAATAAAATTGACTTTACAGTTACATAATATCAGATTATGTGCACTTGGTATCTCTCTTTTAAGTGTTAGGTTCAGAAAGTTCTGAATCATTTGTGTTCAAAGACTTATTTGTGGTAACAATACATAGTAGTTGAATGGTGTTCTAGAAAGTTTTTAATTCACAAGCCTTTGATGTTTTTTTTTTTTTTTATTAACCAACAAAGGTAGTTACGTACTTGCTTTCTTACGATTTCTTTTATATTTGTATTACATTTTTATGTTTTTTTTTGCCTTAAGTACTTCACCGCAAGGAACAACAAGTGCCTTGCTCCATGTGATAAGTCTATATTGGATAAGAGGATTTATTTTATCTTAAACTCCTTTCCCTTCTTCTCAGAATCTTTCTGGTAGCAGATATTTGCTGTTAAAGCAGACCCATCAGAAACTTTCTGTAATAGTATGAATACATTTCTGTACAAAATACAGCAACAGTATCATCAAAATAAAAACAGTACATTTTATTGTTGAAAATCAACTGTTGAGCTCTAGTTCAAGCGGTTAAAGCCCAACTAAAGTTACAGTTTTATGCAATAGTTAGCTATTCAGGAAAACACCTGTAAAAGTCTCACGTTTGGTTTCTTGCTTAACCCGTTCCCGCATGGCCAATAGCAGAATTAAGGCCAAGTGGGACTCTCGTATATCCGGGTGGGCGTCATATGATGTCCTCCCAGACCGCACCTCACGTGTGCCCACAGGGGCCGGACTGTGGTGAAATCTTTCACCTGCTGTATACCTCAGACACAGCCGATGACAGATCTGTGTACCAGTCTGTTGTCAGTATCATGTGACTTGCTGTGACCAATCACATCAGGTCACATGACAATTGTAAACAATGAATGGCTTCCTTTCATGCCATCCATTATATACAATTGTTTCACCAGCTGTGATTGGTCAGTGATCACATGTACAGACTGGGCCAATCACAGCCCATCTGTGTCATGTGATTAGCCATGGCCAATCACAGCTAACCACAACAAAAAACCTGAATGAATCGATTTCATTCAGTTAAATACTTGCTTATAGCAAAGAAATTCTTTGCTATAAGCAATCATACTGTGCAAAAAGAAAATACTGATCACTTCCCCAAATTAGTACAAAGTTATTATGGTAACATTATACTACACTGGT